AACAAGATATATTTGATTGACCGAGTGAACGTTATATTTGATTCCTTTTCTTTGTATTATTATTATTATTATTCTTATTATTATTGTTGTTTATGATTGCTCGATCTATATGGATGTCATTAAAAATATGGAAAAATGTCGAGTTATGTTTGTTCTTTTATTGTTCTTGTCCTATTGTGAAAAAAAGTCTCTAGTTTCTTACGCTTTTTTCGTCAATATTCTCTTAAATACGATATGTAGGAGATACAACAAACAAAGAGAAACCAGATTGATCTATCATAAGTACGCGTCTGGAATGATAATGATTCTTCAATATATAAGAGGCAGAGAGAGAGAGAGAGAGAGACAAGGAATTTGTTTTTGCTTATATAGTTTGCTACTACGAGTTTCGTTCTCATCATCATCATTAACGATTGGAAGTAGCGATAATATGATTCCGAATAGATGAAATATTCCGATTTTCTCCTCCTCTATTTTGTATGTATATGTAAGTAGCATTTGGACATGATAATGCTATATGACAAATGACATGTCAACATATATGTGCACAACATTTGAGACTAAGATATCATATCATATGGATTCTTTCAAGAAAATGTGTAAGTCTTGTTTCTAATTACACTAATATAGATAAATCTATATGTAAACAGAAACAATATTTCACATAATTTAACAGTTTGATTATATATATATATATTTGCTTTTTATCTCTTTATTAGAAATTAAAATTTTCATATATGAAGATAAGCATATTTTTCATTTCTTTTTTGAATAGATTTTTTATATATTATTTCCTATAAATTGCTAAAATTCTTTATATGAACATAATGTTTATAAGAAAAAAACAATTTATTCATCAATCAAGAAAACAACAATAAATACACAAAAATGTCTAATGTCGTTAATTCTTTTCTCGTGACCTTTAGAACTATTGCTAATCGTCGTCGATATAATTACTTGAAGTTATTGATGTTAACTAGAAAATTATTGTCAATACATATTCAACATAAATCGTTCATAATAAACGACACAAATAAAATTATGTATCAGAAATATTTATTTATAGAATAATATTAAAAAATGCATTGAACCATATCTCTTCGTTTCTTTGTTTAAAGTAATTCAATTAAAGTGTTAATGAAAATGTAATTTTCATGTTTTCTTTTGTATTAATAAATTTCTTGAGCATCTCCGAATGTGATTCAATCATTGAAAGATAAATATTTTTTAATAATTTCATGTTTTATAAGTGACCGAAAAATCACTACAAGTTAATATGATAAAATAGTATCGATATATCTCATTGAAATACTTATTAACAAATGACCATAGAAAAACAACCCTATTTTTTTTCAGCAAAATTTTTCATAATGATACAAAGATTATTGTAATATACTGTAATTGTTGTCTTAATATCATTAATTTCGATGATAACGACGGTTATTGTACAAGTGTCTATGGAAGAAACATAGAATAATATAAATGATAAAAGAAAAGAAAGATTATTGAGTATTAGTGGTAATTAATTCCTGAAACTTTAAAGATCAAAAACTAGTATTCTTAATCCAAATACGTCTTAATAAATACACTAATAACTTATTATTTTTCCAATAGAAGCCTTTACACAAGGCTTATCTCGTTTTCGTTGCTCTCAATCATTCTCATAAAATATCTTGTGCTATTTGCAACTATTTCAATGATTTGCAAAAAAATCTTTGTTGCTAAAATAATTAAATGTATTATGCTTTTTACTATGTTATCAAATATTGTTTTAATGCATATTAATTAAAATTTGTCTTATATGTGAAGAAAATAGGATATTACTAAATCACAAACATTAACGTTGTAGACCAAAACTAATAGATAATAATAAAATTAACAATCTATCTATCTATCGAATAAATATGTTTCAAAAGCTAATTAACCGATGAGCAAATAATAGACAACAAAGCAAAAAAAAATCAAACTGACTTCATGGAAACAAATATGAAAAATAAAATATCTTTAGTAATATTTATATTCTTGATAAGTTTGTTCGTTTAATTATATTTTAATAAATTCGATTCATCAATAAATAGTCGTTTATACATCATTGATAGACATTACAATTTCTTTTTTTTTTTATTGTCGTATTATTCATTGTCATAAAAACTCTTTCTCGTATTGCATTACTCTTGACATTAATTGACTAGATATATTTCATCAATTTTCTGGATTGATTTTTCAGTTTATTTGCATCAACAGTGTAATTATTGACAATACTCAAGACAATTAAATCTTATTGTTTTTTAAATTAACACTCTATTTTGAAAATAAATAACACAAATAGAGTCTCTTGTTTTTTCTTTGTTTTTTTTCTAAACGCATTCATTAAAAAGAA